CCAAATCAGCCCCTCGCCAAGTGTAATGTCTAGATAAGCGAACACAATGCGTCAAGTGCCGGCCTATAGTGCTGATATGGTCAGCCCAAGGCAGATCATAACAGCAGCACAGAAATAAACATTTAGGTAATTCAACATTTACAAAATGTAGATGTATATATATACCCATACATGTGTATAATGCCAAATATATATTATATGAATATGTATTGCCACTGGTCGGTTCTACGTCAGCGGCATCTACCGAAACTATTGATTAGATAAAAATATGTGCCAGAAATTGGCAAATGTTTGTCAACACGAAACTTGGTTACTCTTGGAAAAGCATGCTGTTATTTAGGTGACGCTGTTAATGATAAATTGACAATTTGATTTGAATATTAAGTAAAATTTGCTTTAAATTTAAGTAAACCTTATGGACATTTCTAAATATGTAAATAGATTTATGAAAGAGCGCCATTTACAGAACCCTAACAGAGTTATGTTAAAACTCATCAAATCACGCTATATGCTATTCCTTAACATGCTTCTGTTAACTGTTTGTTTATATAATCAGGTGTTACAAGATTTCCAAATGGTTTATTATTTATCTTCATGATTCTATGTTTGTGTGCAAACTCCTTGACCAAGTTCATAGTCCCCCACTGTAGTAAGGGCATAGCAAGCCACTTAGAAACCATACGTGTCCAATTGCTGTCATACAAAATATCTTTTCGATTCTTATAGCACAGATTTATACGTATAAACATGTCTCTAGGCTATATTTAGCTGTCAATGTCAATGAACACGTGTTCGAACTGTATTCCTTTGATCAGACACAAGCTTAAACACCTTTGATATTATAGTTATTTTCTTATAGTTGGGAGATGGGTTTATCGCATTTACATAGTTGTATGCACAAATACAACTTGATTTATATTAATTTATGTAAATTGCGCACAATTGCGTTTTAAATTTCAAAACTTGTATTATTATCCTGTTTATACGCAAATCAAGAACTGTGCATACACAGTAGTTGCTCGTACAAAGGAAATTTTTGAAAATTTAATCACTTTATAAATCATTGATGATTGCTAGAAGCATTTGAGGAGGATTTGGAAAATTGTATTTTCAAAGTTGTTGTTAGGAAAATAAATAAAAACAATAATGAGTTCTATCTTGGCAGAAGACCATTATCTTGTTTATATATTTTATTTTTGCTAACTCAAAAAAAACCCTACGATGGGCTAATTCCATTTCTGCTTAATCATATCAATATATTTAAGTTTTTTTTTTTTTTTTTATGGTGTACTTTTCCTTATGTGCTTCCCATTTGTTTCACATAAATCATCTCTGTCTGGCTTTTGCTACAGTCATCTCAAACTTTTTATCTCTTTTATTTTCAGTCCCAGTTTATAAATATTTGTATAATAAATAAGAGATTAATTGGGCACACTCAACAAGCTTAGCAAAAGACGCAATTATAAGTTTTGCAGTTGAATAAAAATGTTAATCAGTTAATGTGAGCGTGTGTAACTACGTAAACACGCTCGTTACGTAGGACACATGGATGACAGCTACAGCTGACTTTGTTGTTGCTGTTGATGACGTTTCGGCGAACGTAAATGCAAAACGTAGCGAAATGATAAGCAAAACGATGCGGCGACGTAAGTAAACAAACAACGTCAACGACATCGTTAAGAATATTTAATTAATTTTAAATGGAATATTCGAATTACAATACGTTTACATACATGTATGGACAGAGACAAGAACTCGTATTACTTATATAATTCCATTGCAAAAAAAAAAAGTGACAGGGCAACAACAACAAATGAAAGGCAAGTGAGCAGCTAACCGACCGACAAATCAATTGACCGTTTCGCAGTCGTTAATACCCTGTAACCGTATCAAGGGGCTGCATAGGCCCAAGGCTCTCAATTATTGAATCTGTATTTAAGTCGCATCTATAGACATAGATATCAATCCAAATAGAAAAATAAATTTTTTAACTCTTTTTAATCGTTTATGCAATATTTTAAATGGGTATTAATTGCAGCACCAACATCATAAATGGCTTTAAGAAATTATTTTAATTTTCTTGTAAATATTGTTACTTGCTGGCATTGATTTTCGTTCATTTCCTAATAAATATACATTAGTATGTATATTTGTATATATACAACACAAATACAAACATCAATTTTTTTCTGGTAGTCTATTTTATGCGCACAAATAACGGCATTAATTGTGCTGTGTTGTTGGCCATTTATCAGCCAATTATAGCTGTTTGCGTGGCATCTGACTTCGCATATACGTAGATTAACGCCGCATATTGTGAAAACTATCTAAACGTTGAACTTTACATTGTAAAACGTATATACACTTTGTTTATATTTTGTAATTAACATAATTATTTAGCAGTTCTAACTTTTTTCGCACACTTGTGGCATCACTAGCACTGCGGCGCTGACGATAGCAAAATTTGCGAGGTTGTTTTACTTGATAATTATGCAAGTTTTGAGCGAACACATTGGTCGAACTATAAGTACGCATACTGCTTTTAATGCACACTTTATTTGTAGTTAATTATAATTAAATTAATATGATTTTAAGCTAATCAATATGAAACACTTCCTTACATCGCCAGAACTCTTTTTTGTTAGTGATGCTAGTAAGTCGATAAGTTAAATGTATCGGTCTATTGTAACTTATTGACTTGCTTAATGACGCTAAACTCTCACGTAACGCAAAACTGATCGACGTAAGCGCAAAGAGAGAAAAAATGCGCGCGCATTTAAAAACAGAGGAAGAATTAATAAAATGAAAAGTGATTTTTACAGATCCTTTCTGTTAAGTTAAAGCCGCATGAATTTTAATATTCGAGCTGACAAAAAAGAATATATATTAGATACTGTTTGCGTAGTGCGTCACTATTAAGCAATGCATTTAATTGCTAGGGCAAGCCGCATAATTTCATATACTTCTTATCTTATCTTAAGTCTCCCGTATTTTCATGTTCAATTTAAGAGTGAGTGTTCGCTACTTGTAGATAAACAATCATTGGCCTACAAGCATAGGAAATTTGATAAAAATGTTGTATGCCGATTTTTAAACATTAACATGGAAAGCAAACCAAATACTTGGTTGGTTTATTTAAAAAAAAAATAAAAAAGGATAAGTCGTAAATAACAATTAAATGGAAATATGCGTAACGCTATATGATTGCTTGGTTTAAGGCTTTTGGAATATATGTTTAGATAAAAAGCGATTTTTCTGTACTGATCAACATGGAATATTAAATGTGGCTAGTCAATAAGTGTACAAAATGGATTGGTCACGAATGTGTGTTGCTTCTATTGCAGGTCCTGGATGTCATTGTCCCCCAACCTTGACATCGCTCTCATCCGTAGCGGCGGTTTTCGCCGTATCATCCTCTCTGGCGCATTTGCGTATAATGCTATTAAAGTACTTGTGCAGACCGTATCCGAACAGGCGGACTGGTCCAATGACTAAAGCATGCAGCAGATTTGTGAAGAAGCCATCCCAAGGCATCAATGCGCCGCCCAGCATTGTGAGCAGCCAACTTTCAGCGCCCACCGTGGATATAAAGTTTCCTTGCTGTAACGCAGCCAGTTATTATTATATAAATTCTGATAATATCCACAGCTTACCAGCGCATCCTTGAGTATGGCCTTGGCCATAACCTCGGGCTCGATGAGACCACCGCCGCCAGAAATGATTTTAGTTTCGCGCGGCTTGGATTTCTCCTCCTGCTCAAAGCCCGGTGTATTTGTATCGCAGGGCAAAGCCAAAGTTACTGAAACACCATGCACACGCGACTCCATGGCAATTGTCTCAGCCATGGCGCGCAGCGCATACTTGCTGGCGGAATAGGGCCCATAGCCATATATGCCAAACAAAGCCGCCTGGGAGGAGGTTAGCACAATGATGCCTTCGCGGGCCTTCTTCATTTTGGGCAGAACATAACGTGTGCAATTGTAGCTGCCGAAGAAGTTGATATTCATCAGTTTGTGTACATCCGCAACAGCTACCTCCTCAAACAGGCCGCAAATGGCAAGGCCCGCACAATTGATCAGCGCATAGATATTGCCCGCGCTCTCCTCTAGTTCGCCCAGCACGCCTGCCACCTGCTCATAGTCGCCGGCAATGTCCAAGCTGCGATATTGAAATTTCTGCTCTGGTCGCTGGCGAATGACTTCCATTAGTGCCACGGCGCCACCTGTGGCGTGCAACATGTGGATACAGACATCGAGAGAGAGTGAGAGTTGTTCGGCAGTGAAATTTGGTAGCTTGATTTTCTGGTTTTCCACTTACTCAACATTTTCTCGTCGCGAGCAATGACTGTGACATTGGCTCCTTTCATGGCGCATTCCACGGCCAGGCAGAGTCCGATGCCCTTGGAGCCGCCGGTAATTACCACGTGACGGCCTACAATGCTCTTTGGTCGCTTGCCCATGACAAATATGAATATCAGAATGTGTGTTAAAATAGCAATGGCCAAGCAAAAAACAACTTCCCAGGTCAGCTCCATAGTTTGTTGTGCCGCTGATATGGAGTCGAGCGATATATGTTGGTCAAATATCGATAGTTACTGCAACACGATAGTCAGCTGGCAATGTAGCCGCGAACGGTGCGGCGTTGCCAGACGGCTTAAAGTAGTTCTTAAATAATTTGCATTTAATACACTAATAAATCTGTGAAACATTTGCAATTAATAACTTATAAGCGCTGTTATGCTTCTTAATATTATTTGATAAGTTATATGTGCACTCTACGCCTCTGCCTATTTAACATATGTTTGCTTAAAAAGTGGTATGCAACTTTCCAGTGAGCGCCGCAACAGCTGCCTAAAAGACGCTGCCCCCGGTAGCGCTGCACAACTTCCAAGCGCTGCGTCAACTCCAACGCCGACGCTTTGGCTTCAATTGGGTGGCTTCGCGGCGTTTTTCAACCACTTTTCGTACACAGACGACGACTGTTAGCAGCGCACTTTAAGCTCAGTCGTGTACGTAACGTCGTCGAGTTGCAAACGCTAGCGGTAAAAAATACAATTATATTTGGCCCAATAGCAGCAGCAGCAGCGGCAGCAACGTTGCACTGAAAGCAAAAAAAAATTGATATGTGTGTTCAGTGTTAAGTAAATTTGTAGTGCAAACTGAAGTAACGGCAAATGTTGCGCTTCACTGCACGCTAATGGCAAATTAGTGCAGCAAAAACAATAAAACTAAACCAAAAGCGGCAAAAAAGAATTGCATACCACACGGCTGTGATGAAAAATAGATATCGATTTGCTGACTGACGGCATGTGGTGGGGGGCATATAAAGCTATTTCTGTGTGTGTAATAAAAACTTAATATCAAATTTCTAAAGTTACCGGAAAAGCTGCACAGACATTCACACACAAACTTTGTAAATTAAGCATTAATTGGCTCAATTGTGTGACAGTTTCTGTGTGTATGTGTGTGTGTGTGTGTGCTTAGGCGTATGCGGCGTTGTGTGTATGTGTGTGTATGAGATCATCATTATACGGCACTTGCCGTCGCCTGCTGGTATGCAATACTTTTTCTTCTAACGCACGCTAGCTTCCACTTATCCTTCTTCTTCTCGCTCCCACAGCTGCGGGCTCTATTAAAAGAGAAAAAAGTAAATAAATTTTGAAACTCGCTTGGTCTATGACAAAACAAACGCACTTTCTTCGACGACAACGCATTTCTAAGGTGCGTGTGCGTATCGAGAGTGTGAGCGAGAGCGATAGTGAGAGCGGCACGCGTGTGTTTTTGTGTATGTGTTAGTTGCAGTTGTTGCGCCTTCAAAAGCTCACAACGCGAACAATTTAAGCAATTAAAAATATTAAAACAAATCTGTAAACGCGCGCGTGTTTATTTAATTTGTATTTTGATCATTGGGTTCGACAACCATAAAAGCATTTCCCTATGATTGGCTCATTCTGGAATCTGTGCAGAGCGTGCCCATCAATGCCGGTTGACAAGGTAAATTAATATAACGCTGAATATATCTTAAGTATTAATTACAGTTATCACTCGAAACTTAGAACTCTTCGTTTTAAATGGAAGTGCACATTTTCAATTTTTTGTAATTTAATATCCTTTGATTCGTTTATATATGAGAGTTATTCAAGATTAAATTATTATTACAAGATTAAACTATTACATACATAATAGAGTCTTTTCATAGTCTCTTTCCATATTGTTAAAGTCTTATATTCTTATAGTCTTATATTCTTATATTCGTACAATTCCAAGATATTCATTAGGATATATTCAATAAATAGTCGGGAAACAGTACGCAAGTTAATAGATTGAAAATTAACAATTTGGCCGCTTAAACTCAGATTAAGTTAAACTTTTTCCTATTTTTTCAAGTTCCAATTTCCGAGCAATCACTGTACATATAAATAATCCTACACATAAGCTGTGCAATAACTAGCTAATAGCTGGTCGTAACTTGCAGTTTCTTAGCCCACTTGCATTTATTAATTTGTTTTATTGGATCTCAGAAAAAGTCGCTTGATTTATGTGCGACATATTTTTATTGCGTACTCGCAGCCAAGACAAGTGAAGGGTGCACGGAAGGGTGCAGACAAAATGGGGGTGACTAAATTTATGACTTGGCTCGAGAGGGTGTTGCACTGCTGGGGGATTATATCATGGGATTATGGGCAAAATATATTTGATTTAATGAAATTGCAGTCAACAAATTGCGAGGGAAAATAAATAAAATCAATTATGTGTATGGTAATATTTATTCATTAACGTGCATTACTGTCACTTGAACGTATTAAATGTGGAGCTTATAATAATATCACACAAAACCTTCATAATTTATCATAAGTTAATATACCAATTTATTATAAATGAATTTCATTTAATCTTTGAAAGCACGCTAAACTGTTTGAGTTTTATGAAATATATTTTACCAATTTTCGAAAATCCACTCCCACGGGCGGAAAATGAGTGGAAATCTGAAACAATTTAAGAAAAGCTCACAATTCAGCAGGCCGATATCACGGAATCGCGCTCAAGTCAACGCAATTCGCCATAAATTTGAATTTATATGCACCATACAGCATTTTAGCAGTTACAATCCTTGGGAGTGTCATAAAAAGTGGTTAACTATATAAACATGCAATGCTTCTACAGCGCACAGCCAAGAAGTAGTCGACAATTTGAATAAAGCAAATCTGCTGGCATAGAATAAATTTATGTACATTACGCTCGACACCAGACGCGTCAGCAATGGGACAGACATAGCCACAAAAAAAAAAAAAAAAATAAAATCAATAGCCATATGGTGTAGTATATGTGGCCTAAAGGAGCGTACCACGGAGCCCGTTAGCCGTTAGCGGGGCCGGCCGGGCAGAGCGAACCGGCGCGCCGCGACAACGACAGGCAACGAATACAATCTAAGCACGAAATAAGACAAAAAAAAAACCTCGCCTGGCTTTCCAGTCACGGTTTCGCAAGGGTAGCTGCGGTGCGAGGTGGAGTACTTTGCAGAACAGCTGATTCATCAAATTGCCAGTCGTGAAAAGTATGCAATGTTTTTTTTTTTTGCTGACGCTTCCTGTTACAGCTGTTGGAAAAGAACGAGAGAGCGAGAGCGCGCGCGCATTGGCAGAGAGTGGCGAGAGAGCGCGCTGCAAAGAGCAAGGCAAAGCGAGAGAGAGAGAGCGCGGCTGCCGGCTTTTAATATCTTGAGCTGTTGTTGTTTTTTCTGTTGGCCATATGACGTGCAAAGGCAGATTGTCTTGCGGTATTACATCAGCGCAGCGCAGTCAAAACTTTTATTCAGCCACCTTCCACCTCCAGCGTCACTTTAACAGCAACAACAACAACAACAACAACGACGACATCTAGCTTTGCTTTCGCTGGGGCGCCAGTGCGGCGTACTCCCTTACAAAGGCCTGACTCTGGCTGGTCTTATCGATTCGCTCGCCTTACACATGCTACTATGGCACTTAGTCACACTCTCTAAGCTAGTCAGCTGGCGACGCCCAGTGCAAATGCATTGCCATTGTAGTACTTATCTAATGTAAGGCGCTCACACATACACACGCGCACACTTGTTGTTACTGTTGCCTGCACGTGTCCTTTGTCCTGCTGTGTGCCGTGTACTCTATCGGCCCACAACATCAATATGCAGCTTGTGGGCAATGGACTGACCATTGTTCTATGTTGTGTATTTATGGCCGACTCGTTAACTCTGCTGAACTCTTTTGGACCATTTGCCACATATGCTGCCATTTAGAAATAAATATACTCATTGGTATACCAAATTCGTCCCAGTTGCTGTTAACCTCGTAGCATGTTAAGCTACCAGTTGGTTTAGTGTTAGGGTAAAGCTAAATACAAAGGTTAATATTCAAAACATGTCTTGATTTTCTATTTACTGTAAATTAAACTAAAGTACAATAAACCAGTTTTTCAAGAAACTAGACAGCGAGGATTCGGGCTTAAAATTCTTTTAAATATCAGTTTTTTTATTACAAAGAATTCCAATATAACAAATTTCTATACACAATTTCCCAAGCGTGAGAATTGTAACTGACCCAAATAATTTCTTCCACTTAGTTCTCTTTCTTTATATTCTTGGTTTTCACACTTCACTGGACAGTTTCAAAAAACGTTTGTCGCACATTAATAATCTTTGCATTTCGATTGGCAATTCAATTCGAATTTCTATTGTGTTGACCATTGACCACAGCAATTTGCACTCACTCCACTGCCCTGCAGCTCGCTAATCTCCGCCAAACTGGTGGCAAAACCCTAAAGGGAAGCCCCAGCCAAATGCCCAAGAGCCACAGCCTCGGCCACAGACTAACGAACAGGGGAAACGTAGAAGTTCACTCGAATTGTATGTGGCCAATCTCCATGGAGCAGAACAGAGCACAGCACAGCGTCGAGTGCATTGCGAAACTTTTCTAATTATATGTGGTCAGCTGTTCGTAATTGTTTCTTTTCTGCAGTCAAGGGGTACTCAACCAGACGATACTCTTGTAACGCAAGAACGCAAGTAAGTGGAAGATAAGTGGTATCCGAATTTGAGAATTATAAGTGCTGTGATTTTCTGAGCTTTGCTCAAATTCTGTTTGAAAGTTGGAAAGTTGTGAGTATCGAATGCTCGAGGAAAGTTTTCACTTGTCGGTGACTGTTCGACCAAAAACCGCAAGACAGCAGCTTTGCTTAAGCTTAAACCAGTTGTGAATTATAAGCCCAAACACTCAAAACTAGCCTGGAATATCCTTGTTAACCTTCCAAATAGTTTCTTTAATTGATTACCAAATGCAGCCCACAATTTCAAAGATAAATTGCTCTTTTATAATTTAATTTTTATGCCTACCATATGTTGACTGACAGTCAGTTTTTTTTAAAGGAAGGTAAATTTAATTTCCGAATACATACGCGCAGGCAGGTACAAACCTGTACCAGCAAAAACAAAAAAAAAAAATGGAAAAAATTGTACGATTTGCATGTTTTTTGCGACTCAGTAGAATTTCAACTGTGTACATTTTTGTTTTTCTGATTGCCTTTACGTGGCTGCATGTCAACTGCCTTTAAACTTTTGGGCAGAAATTTGTATACCCTGACGGAAAGGTATACCGATTTTCTCATAAAGGTGACATTTTCTAATGTTTTAAATGGGACAAAATCGATATAGACTAAAACTATCTGAAACTAGGCTATTATTTGTATTAACAAAACTTAAACCAAGATCGTGTTATACTATCTTTAATATGAAAACTCATTTATAGGGTATAAAGTTGTTTCGCTTTTCTTGTTTTGAGTACAATAGTTTTTCGTTCTGCCATTTAAATATTTGCATATTTTCCGCACAAATCAGGCAATCGCATGCAGACCGCATATAACATTTTTACCATATAGAGAAGTTCTTAGTTTATTTATTTTCCTCGCATTTTTGCGTTGAATTTGTATATCTTTTTGTTGACTTTATGAGTCTTTAATATTTGATTTATTGCTCGTTTTTTTTTCGGTCGCAATCTGTCATAAAATTGCTTGTGATGTAATAAAAGCAAGATTCAAGAGATTTGAGAGCGATTATTACTCAATTGCCTTGAACATTCGTTGAGGGAAATACTTTAAGCATAAATTTATAAAAATAATATATGAAAAAGCAAATAAGAGATATATAATAAAAATATATAAGGAAAACGTGAGAAAAATGCGGCTTAAGATTGAGAAAATAAATGGAGATAATGAAAGGAAGCAAATAATTTAATGTGAAACAAATATGTGTATATAATTCTTGAAGAAAGGTTTATGTCTAAAATACATCAATATTCTATAGTCTAGCCTTATAGTTGTTCATGCCATTCCATGTGTGTTCCTTGACATTGACTGTTTTTAAACTAACAAGCGATTAACTAGGGACAACTGTTTAGCTTTCTGACTGGCGATTGGCATGCTAATCAAAGCCAATTGCTTTATTGATTTTTGTGCCAGTCATTAAAACCTACACGGATTCCCAGCTAGGTTTTTGTAATAACACGAAATGCCTGTCAAAAGCTTACACACACACATACACACACACTCAGCTGCAAAATAAACAGCAGTTCAGGTGTTTAGAACTCGGCACAGAACTTTTTCCATTAAAAATGGTAAAGTTCTGTTCTTTTTTCGATTTTCCGCTAATGGAAATTAGCAGCAATTGACTCTTGATACAAAAAAAAGAACTGTGCAAAACAAATTTAATTACTTTTAATTAAATTGCAATCTTTAAAAAGGCAGCGCAAAAGTGCCGTCAGTATGCCACATGCTCAGGCATCTCTGGCAGCTCTGCCTCTTGCATATTACGTCAAGTCAATCTGACATGGCGCATCCGTCAACATCCTGTCTCGTCCTGGCTCGTCCTGGCTCGTCCTGGCTAACGTATTTCAATTTCAATTTTCTGCCTCTGAACTAATGCAATTATAATAATTTCCGCACGTAAGTGAATGGATTAAAGGGCCGATGTCCTTGCCAGCTCTGTGAGCTCCAACGCGGTGCTTTTGCATTTGCCGCAGTTACCCCCAAGTTGGCTGGCGACCAACTTGCTGCCTGCTGTCACCGTTGATAGTCATTTTATGAGATATCTTTTTCGGTTCAGGCAAGTCTTCAGTGCCGTAAAGTGCTGCAATGGATTGTGGCAATAATTTGATGGCTTAGAAATTCCTTTGAGGGTTTTAAATATAAGAATTAAAAGACAAATTACGATAGGTTAGCAAAATGTTGCAATCAAGTTGCAGTTGCTAGGTGCCAAGGCTTTGTCAGTGTTGTTAAGCAGAAAGGTTTTAAACCTGCCTGCCAGTGTTGCAAAGCGGAAAGGTTTCGAACACACCTGCCAGTGTTGAAAAACGTTTGCATCTTAGTTGTGAACTAGTCAAAAAAATATCTCTTTACTATTAAAATAAATTAAACAAATTTCCCCACGACTTTTTTTTGGACTATAGCTTAAACTCCTGTCAATTTGCCAGCTCTGCCCCTCGAAATAGCTCCTTTAAAAAACTTTGCTTAATGCATCCTAAATATTGTTCAGTCCGTGGCTGACTACAAATCCATTAAGACCCCATTGCAACAATTGCAACATATTTTATTTGAAGGCAGTTGCCAACAGCGGTTCGTGCATTTGCCAAGTACAAAATCTGCGAACATTACGTATACGCAAATAAGGTCATATATGCGAGCTACTCGCGAGCTACAATGCCAAGCTACCCCTCTGCCTGCCACGCCCCCATTTCTCCTGCTCCATATGCCACTTAAATATTTTACGCTTTTGTATTGTTAAGCAAAAGTTGGTTTTTTACTCGTTCGTTGCATTTCCAACGCATGAAATATGCAAACGCATTATGGGAAAGGTTATATAATTTTTCCCAGTGTATAATAGGTGTGTTCCTTTGTACATTTCTGGCAGTATAAAGTGCAAAAAGTTAAAATAGCTTCAAAACTCAAATCGCTGAACCTTTAACCATTTCAAACAAGTTTCTTTAGTCGCAGAAATTAAGCTGTAAATGCAAGCTTAGACTTATTATTGTAGATTTTTTAGATAGGGTTTAGCTAGAACATGGTCTATGCTTAGAAGTTTTTAAAAATTTAATTTAGCGGATCTGCTGCTTGGAAATTTGAATGAAAGAAAGAAATAAATTTATTAAATATGAATTTAAAAAAAAATGATATAATAAGATTTATCATAGTAAAGTTTTAATAAAAAATATATGTGTATAAATTAAACATAAATGTGACAGTAAAATGACAAAATATTGCTATAATAAAAAGATGCTTTTAATTATATATGCAAAAATGGATAGATTCACATTAAAAAAGAATAGGGTCACTTTATTGTAGTCCAAGAAATCTTTGTATGTCCGAATATAAAGGTCTTGAACTCTTGTATTGTTATAAGCTATGCAACCTTTATACATATATCAGATTAAACACTAAACACATTTAACATAACACTTCATATTGTTTTGACTTCTTTTGTTGCCATAATTTATCATTGCACTTTTGGTTAGAATTTCAAACGACTTTTGTTATTGTTGTACACAATGCAGCATTGCGATTAGTTGTAGCAGTTGTGTTGAGCCAGCGGCATCCACAAACGACTAGATTGCACTTACGTCCAACTAACCAAGTATATACATATATAATACATACATATATATGTTGTGCAGTTCGTTGCCTGGCAATGGCAATTTGATACAAAGCAAAGAACTAGAAATAGATAGAAAGACTAAATAAGCGCACACAATGGGCAATTATTTGCACGAGTATAAGTACATGTATATATGTATAGTTAGATGTGTGTGAATGTGTATATACTTATATAGCAATTTGTGTACTCAGAGTTATTGTGTAGTATCTGCTGCATGGCCATTTGATGCTGCATTGTCTCGATGGCATTCAAGCGGAGTTCTCAATTGCCGCTCTTGAAGGATTTACTCATGGCTCAACTTAAGTGAAGCCAGGCAAAAGTTGGTCGGTTATAATGTGTGTGAATCCTCGAAAAGTTAGGTTAGCTTAAGTGAGGTTAGGATGTGCAGACTAAGGTTAGGTTAGATTACGTGAGGATAGGATATGGGTTACGTTAGGTTAGCTTAGGCTAGGTTTGTTTAAGTAATCTAAGGTTAGGCTAGGTTAGATAAGGCTAACCCGGATAGATTAGCTTAGGTTAGTTTTATGAATAATCCCCTTGGAAGGTAAAAAGTTTTGTGACTGCATGTTTCATTTTTCCTACTCTTTGGCTTTTCTATTTCTTTATTTATACACTCTAACGAGCTTGCACTGTAGATTTTCTTTAGCTGCTGCAATTTGAATTTCAACTTTTTTGTGGAATAAATTTCCAGTAAATCGCCGGTAAAATAAATGCTTCCGATTGCGCATTTCCTGCATGGACGCCAATACCAGGCCAAGAAGTGCGTAAAGGAAAACTTGATTCTCCAATTTGAATATATTTTTTCAGCTGCACTTCTTCAGTTGTTGTGTCTGTGTGTGTTTGCATGAAAACTCTAGTGTAATTTAAAGTTTTGAAGTGTTCTCAGATAGAAAGAAAAATGCAAATTTACGCAAGAGCTAGAAAACGATGCGGTGTTGAGGTACACGATTGTTGTTCTGAGAACTTTTAGTATAGCATATTTTTTGCCACAAGTACATTCAGGCTTTAACAATACTGTAAAAATTGGGATTACAATTTGGCCATTAATCAAATAAGTATTAGCATTAGGGCCAAGCACATGCGAAAGTTTTAATGTGATTGCCTTCAGTTGACTACAAATATCGTTTGTCAAAGTAACGACACATGACAGAAACATGCGCCAAAAATGCAGAAGGAAACTACAAGAAACTAACATATTTTATTTATGATTTCTTCAATAAAACAAACTTCGCCTGGAACGTTGGGGTTGGTTTGTAAACATTATGAATTTGGCACAAAGTGCCGCAAACACAGATGACTAAACACAAGACGAGGATGCTGGGCAAGCAAAGGAGGATTTAGCTTAAATGGCGTCACCAGCAACCGTTTCGACTCGTTTCAGTTTCTTTATTTTTAGCATGCTTACGTCAGTCACGGTTACATAAGAGCTAATTGGCGGCCAACGAGGCGTATGCGTAATATTATGCTACACCTTGACGTAGCAAAGAAAAGCCAAAGTTGAAATTTTGTATATTTAATTCTTGTCGTCATCGGTCTAAAATTTGTGCACACAAAAAGAATTTGATAGCAGCATCTATAAGTTCTCGTCGTCATCCTCAAGTAAAAGACCCGCCTGTGCCAGTTCGTGCTCCATTTCCAGCTGCCAGCTTTTGGCCATGCGCACATCCGGCGGCTGCAGTGCGGGCATCTCGACGAACTCTAGACGCGGATCACCAACCAGTACCCGAGCCAGCCAGCGGAAAGGCTTCTCAAAATTGTAGTTTGACTTCGCCGATATGGGAAAGTACTAGAAAAAATATATATATATATATATATTTCTATAAGATGCAGCTTTCTGAATAGTTTTGTGGGGTTTGTTTGTTAAGGATATATTGAAACGCCAAATCTGCTTCTTTAAAGAACTCTATTTTCGACTGACAGTTCCTATGATATGTTCAGATCTGGCTTACTCGATCATATGTACTGTCCATAGCAAAAAGATGAATCTGTCAAGCTTTAAGTAAGCAGCCTTGAATTTTAAGGATTAGCTTGCATATGAAAAGGGTAAATAGTACTGATGAAAAGGACAAAGGACTGCTAAATGAACTTTATCGAGTTGGCTTTCGATTTGTATCATATATTTATATATATATATATATATAAATCTATTTAGTTATGAGCTTGTGAATGTGTCATTCAACGCGTTGCAACAGCTACTCCGAAAGTTGTTTCTTCCATCAATTCTGCTCACCTGTATATTTTTCTTGCGATGAAAATCCAGACCCTTTGGCTTGACCTTGCAGTCCTTAATGTCAATCTTATTGCCGCACAGAACAATTGGTATTTGGCCACAGGTGCGCACCAAATCACGATACCAGTTGGGCACATTCTTATAGGTGGTCCGGGAGGTCACATCGAAGAAGATGATGGCACATTGCGCCTGAATATAGTAGCCCTCGCGCAGTCCACCAAATTTCTCCTGCCCGGCCGTATCCCAGACATGGAATTGTATTGGTCCGCGGCTGGTGTGAAATTTCAATGGATGCACCTCCACGCCCATGGTGGCCAAATATCGCTTCTGAAACTCGCCGGTCATGTGCCGCTTGACAAACGTTGTCTTTCCCGTGCCTCCATCGCCAACCAGCACCAGCTTAAAGGATGGTATTGCATCACCACCATCATTAGCCATGTCTTGAGTTTGGCACCGCGAGCTTAACAAATATATAAAATAAATAAAAATGGTCAAAATATTGCGAATTTGAAAAATGTATTAAAAAAAAAAGGCGTTTAACTGTTAGGAGAATCAGTTACATGTATATTGTTCCCACTGACGCCTATATAAAATGTAAGCTGATTAAAAAAAAAATAAAAATACAAAATGTTAATAATTGAAGCAGGATTTAAACTTAAGGGATAAACAGGATATACTTTAACAATCGAATAGTTGTTTGTTTAAGTTAGTTTAATTATATTATTCAACTACGAGTTACCTAAGACACCTTAAGCAGAGCGCGTGCCATCGATCGCATTGTTATCAAAGTCGTTATGCACATGAGTGCGCCAAGCGCAGCACACAAAGACTCACTCATTCACACACACACACACACACATACACACCCATACACATTCACTCACACTCACAGCAAATGCACTCGTGCGGCAAATAGATGGAAATAAAGCGCGTTGACAGCACTCGGCGCAAAATACTACTGAAGGCCAGCGCATAAGAGCATCGAATTTCATGTTAATTGTTAAGATTTGAACAACATTTAAGCACTCGCATATTTGCAGCAACAAATACTTCTACTCACATTCATACGCAGGCACATTCAGATTGATGTAGCCGCTGGCAATGACACTGACAGCCGCACATCTAAAGTTTGTCCGGAGCGGTCACTGACAGGAAAATGCAATTAAATGCAGCTGCTTGTTGTGTCTGTCGTTGCAGCATAATTCGAGTTTCATTTTGCATTTGTTCCATGGCTTGGGTAGTGTGTCTCTATGCAAAAGTTTTCTGGTATTTTACACCGGAAGTGTTGCATTTTCTCGGTGTGTGTGCAAAAGTGTGTTTGCCAAAGTCTTCTGTTTGGCATAATGTCTAAAATAGTCGATTTGAAACTTTGCCCACATACAAATTTAATATCTTAAGTGGATTTTAATTTGCAATTTATTTGTTTAAGTTTTACTAAATGTAACAATTAACTTAAAAGGCGATGTGTAAGCAACAAAGAGCTTGTTAGTTAACAAATTGATTTAATTTTGTAAAACAAAAGCACAAATTTGCAAAGGCTTTTTGCGAAAAGTGCTTTATATTTAATAGGCTAAATAGTTTAGTAATAATATGTTTTATAGAGAATTAATTACTAAAAATAATTCCTACATTTTTTATTGACTGTATCTAATATTCATTTATTATACCTTGTTGGACAACTATAAATTAAACTTAAGTGTTCATATTATGAATTTTGTGTAAACATGTTTATTTATCCATTAGCTAACAAGTAAGAGGTTCTAGTCGGGAGCTTTGACTAGGGGATACCCTGAACCCTTCCAACAGGCAATAGGTATAAAATGAAAGATACTTGATATATATACACTATTTTAGAAGCTACATGTCAAGTTTGGTGATTTTAGCTCGTATTACAAACTGCGCGGATACTAGTAGGACCTACAGCTAAAATTTCAAGTCTCTAGCTCTTATAGGTTCTGAGATCCTTGCGTTCATACGTACGGACAGGCGGACAGACGGACATGGCTAGATCGACTCGGCTGTTGATGCTGATCAAGAATATATATACTTTATGGGGTCGGAAATGCTTCCTTCTGCCTGTTACATACATTAGCACAAAAACATAATACCCTTTTTACCCATTTTCAGTGGGTTCAGGGTATAAAAATGTTTTCCTTGCCTGTGTAGAAAATAACTTGAAGTAAAATTTATATATATATTGCACTCACAGTGCATTGAACTGTCGCATTTACATGCAGCAATTGCTGAATACTCGCTAAACATGTGTTAAACTGGGGAATAAAAACTCCACCAGCAAGTGACAAATTGTGAACAGCAAAGGCAAATTATTTGCGTACATTTGGAATATTCAGTCTTTGGCGAGGAAAACCTGCCCCACCCGGCACTGAATTCACTTTGCATGCGAAAAGTCTGGAGTGTTGTGGCCGGGTGTTGAGACAACAAAGCGTGCTGGGAGCATTGGGCACAAGGAGTACGTTTGTGCCATTGTTGTTTTGGACGTGAATGAACTCGGTAAATGCAAAGGATATTATGCATACGCCATGTTGCACGCAGCCGTAGACTTTGTTCTGTGCCATTGGGTCTTTTCAATAAATCAGCCGTCAACGGGAATGTCAACGCAAAGCCATCAAATCAAAGCCAAGCAAAAGCCGAAAGCCAAAAAGGATACAAATTGAATAGGGCAGGACGCTGGATGTTTCCGGAGTCAGGGAGTTGAGCTTATGTGCAATAAAAGCGTCTTAAAAGTTTAATGTCCCTCGCTTTGCGGTCACATACAAATTAGTTTCGACTTCATGGCTGGCACTGTGTGTTGTGTGTCTGTCTGTCATGTGTGCATGTGTGTGTGCGTGTGTGTACGTTGACATTCTTCCAACTGCTGAAAGTTGCGCAATTTTACCTGTCAACAACTTTTTCATTTCCTTATTCAAAGAGTTTTCTCCAGACGATTGGAATAATCAGCTGTCTGTTTGCTAAATTCTATTTACAAAAGTTTTGTATCTAAAACATCTGAATCAAGTTTAGTATAGTTTAATGGCAGTGTAGTATAGATTGAAATATTTCTGTTAATTTAGTTAGTTACCACAAGTAAATGTCACATAATATCGTTTAGTTTTTCAGTGCCTTATTATGTAAATACCACAACAATTGCAACTTAATTGCAGCTAATTTAATATTCCCTGAAATTAAATCGTAGCTGTTGCACGTTTTTCGCATTTTGCAATATAATCCATATTTATGGGCACTGACAATATGGGCTTATTAAAGTGAAAAACAAAATTGAACAACGGCCTCGAAGAGCGTGTACTCTTTCAGGCTGATCATTTGTGGCCAAATATAATATTGGAAAATAAGATCCACAAAAATGTCTGCTTAATCGGTTCATAAGGAGTTATAAATAAGGGGTTATTTTAGATTCTTTTAGTGAAAAATTACAAAATAGAATAAAAATGCAACAAAGTAGGCAACAATATTTTTGAAGATAGTTTTTGATGTGATGCTTTTTTTTTATATTTATATTTTTTATTATACACAAAGTGCCGATTATGCTTGTCTAAGTGCATTTATTTTCGAATTAAAAATTATTTAATTATTAAATATTCAAAAAAGTTAAAGTTTATTATTTTCTTGCTATTAGTATTATTATAGGTACTATAATAATTATTTATGTTATTATTGTTATAACTATTCTTATTATTAGTATTAGTATAATTATTATTGTTATAACTATTCTTATTATTAGTATTAGTATAATTATTATTATTAATCTTATTATTATTATTATTATTATTATTATTATTATTATTATTATTATTATTATTATTATTATTATTATTATTATTATAATTATTATTATTATTATTATTATTATTATTATTATTATTATTATTATTATTATTATTATTATTATTATTATTATTATTATTATTATTATTATTACTATTATTACTATTATTACTATTATTATTACTATCCTTTCTCCAAGACAATACTTCTCCATAAACAAGGCTGTGATATGACGAGTTATGATCTCAAATATTGATTGAGTATCATAACAGTTGCTATAGTTATAGTACCCCACAGAAATGTGCCCATGCAAATGAGCAGCATTATTTAATTAAATGAAGTTGGCTCCACTGACCGGGCACGTCGCGTCCTGGTTACCGAGCGGCTAATGTGCATTTGTGCTGCTGAGGGTTCGCCGGTAGCCTCATTAAGGGACGACCACGACAACAGCTTGGCAATTTATTAGGTGGGTCTTAAAGGTGCAAGGGGTCGCCTGTCTCGCTGCTCCTGCCATAGCCTAGTTACAAGTCAATCTGCGCCAGAGTCAAGCTGAAGGCGAGGCTCGTTGCTGTCATCTTAAAACAGGGCACTTAAATTTAGGCAAACGAATGACACTAGAAAGGAAAAAAAAACTACCGTTCCGACACGTCTGGGGCCATGTCGAGTAAATTAATTGCTGGTGCAGGCTATGAGCACACACGGCACATACACCATAGACACACACATGCACACACACACACATACAGAGTCTGATTGTATTGCGCGGTTAGTTGAGCAATCGAGCAAACTAAACCGCAGTTGCGGGCCGGAGGCACGCATTGGCAGACAGAACGGCAGCCCCCCCTGGTGGAGGGAAAGGGTTTAGAGGAGAAGCGCACGCCAGATGTTTGTGTTTGGTTTGGTTTTTGGTCGGTGCCAGTGGAAACCATAAAAGCAACTATCCTCTGTCACCTGCCGTGACGCCATCTGCGCCAGACAAAATGGTGTCAAATGACAAAATGCATCGTAAAATACAAAAAATAAAAGTGGAAATGGAAAAACTTGCACACGTGGGCTGCATGATTAGTTTTGGAGCTCAAATATATATAATAAATAAAAGTTGATATAAGATGTTATATAAAGTATATTGAAATTTAAGAAATTTCAATTACTCACCATAATATTTTGTTTTATTAAAGCTTAATTGATACTGCCCACCAATATAAGCTCCAATTTAAATTCAATTGACTTTTTGAGAATACACAAATATTCTATAGCACAATAAGATCTACTGTAGAAAATTTCATCAAGATCGGTTTAGAAACACAGAAGTTATTAAAGAAAACATGTTTTGGCTGGCCTCGAGCTTGTATACATTATTATTATCGTTAAGACTCATTTCTTGGTTGGCTGTTAAGTAAGGGCGCTTGCAAATAGTGTGGTCTGTTACAAGTTCGAGACCTATCGAGGAAACACTTTTTTTAATTTACTTTTAGCGCGACCTGAATTTGGTGTTGGTAGTCGGGAGCTCCCTCTAACTTGTTTTGTTTAAAAATTATTTATGTACGACCTTTCATCTTTATTATGATTTCTTTTGAGTCCAGTTTATTAACCCGCAAAACAGTGCTCGATTTTAGTGTATATAATGAAAAGCTCTTTGCTCTTTAAGTAAACATATGATGTGTAAAATTAAAAAAATATAATTTATTATCAGCTTATATCAACGATTATGGTTGACTTTAAAGACTTTTTTGCCTGTACATAAGATTTTCATTTAAATCACAGATAACCGGTACCCTACTTATAGAGTCTTATGATAACTCGCAAACTTATTGTGCGAACCAAGACAAAGGGAAAAACCTCATTGGACAATGAAATTTTATGCGCTTGTTTGTGCTTCATATTCCTTGCACTGCACGAGCACACAAAAAGCAATACGAAGGACCGCAGGCAATCGGCCAGGCGATAACTGCAAGTGCTGTTCGCTTCGAGGTGTCCTTTGTTCGCATAAAACTTGAAACGTCCCTGTGGGTAGATTAAACACGCACACAATATTGTCTATATACACAGTTTGTTTGTATATAAGTATATATACATATGCATAGTCAGTTTGCGGTTCTCGGTTTTAGTTACCTAACACGTGTAGCTTAGTGTTGTTATTTAGGGATTATGGAGCACTGTAAGCGGACGCCTGCAACTATGCTACGAAAATTATTGCATCAGATTTAGCAATCGCATAGCTCTACTTACACCAATGTGTGATAAATTGTGTGGGTCATGTCGTTTATAGAGCCTGGCATGCCAAAAGTGCTGGCTATTAAATTGTTATGGTCAATAACAAATTGCAATGATCACTGCGTTTATTTCAGGCCAAATCACTAAAAACTTGTATAGTATAATAATAGTGTGCCAGTGAAGCTTATACGACTAGTAGATACTTTATAAACAGCTCGAAATACATTTGTTCATCTGTTTCGCATTTGGCTTTAAATTGCTGCATATTTCAATATTTCGTAATAATTCTGTAACAGTTATATTTAAACTCTATGTACGGCCTCTATCTATATAATATATACGCTTAATTATTTACTTAAATATGTGAGTTATCAATAAAACATTTGTGCACTCACAATTCAATCAGGCAACATGTATGCAATATCGGGCCTGCTCAATCACTGTCAGCCATAAGTCGAATGCAATTTTAATTAATTTAATTAAAATGTCAAATCGATGCGATGCACACTGCAGGTGTCTGGGTGAAGCTGCTTGTCAACAGGCTTATCAGGATTTGAATGTCAGTGCGCACAAAAAACTGCAGCAGAAAATTTAAAAACAGAAAGCACTTTTTTATATATAGTAGATAAAGTAGAACTGTTGCAAATTGAGGTCTTTAAAAAGGTCATAGACAAAAAGTTCGTTGAACCACAATTAAAATACAAATCCATTGCGCTGTCCGAATCAGTAAACGTGCAATACCACACGAAAACATAAACTAAATTTGAAATATGCTCTCAACGAACCGCAAAAAAATAAAATGTTATCAAATATTTATGCAATAATAAAGAAAACACATTTCAGACGCGGTTTGCATTATTGAGGCTGCAATCAATTTGGCGCAACGCACATAAATCAGTTGGAAATTTATGTGATACCTAACGCAGTTCCCCTCTTCCCCGGGGGCAAAGTGACATGATAAATGGCTGCAGCATAAAAAATATTATTTGCAATAAACAGGGGCAGGTGTTGCTGCCACGTGCCAACAGGCACTCAACCTGCCCTTAGCAGAATATGAATACACCCCCGTTCTTGCAACTGACACTCCCAATGCAGATGACAAACGTACCTTGGGGGCAGTGCACACCTTCGATTAATCGATTAAAGTGCGCTTAGCTCGGGGTTCATCGACTAAATTATGCATGAGCGTGCGGTTTTGCAAATACTTTTCTGGGCTGACAATCGCAGGTCGCGAGCAACTCCCTTGTGATTAGTTGCTTGGCGAATTGTTTGTAAAAGTTATTTATTGTCTAGCGAATTGATTTTTAATTAACTTTTCATTGGGGCTATGGGGTCGAGAGCCTGTCTAGACGCCTTTAAAAGGGTTTGACGGCAATTAGGTTAATTGTTGGGCGTTACGTGATGGATAAAAATGGGATTTAAACTCGATTTAAGTTTTGGATAGACTTTTGGCTCAATGCGTGTGGCTGTACATTTAATGAGGAGTAATAGGCATATTTAAAAGGGGTTTAGGAATTTTAATATTAATATTAATAGGGGTATATATATACGCCAAAGGCTATTAACTTGCACTCTATTTGTTCAGCTCTATATGAAATAGTGTTTCCAATGATTTCTTTATTATTATAAGCAATCCAAAAGTATAATACTATGTAACCAAATAATTCTAAAAGTATTTGGGTAACAAAGAGGTGTACCAAAAATGAAAGATTTCTATTCAAAAGTATCTCTACAATTAATAAACTTTGATTTTGTTCAAAGCTTCAACTTTCCATTAGCCAAAGAAAACAACAAGTCAAAATAAGCTATCTAATGACTATCTATCTGTATATATAAAATAATTAATAAAGAACTATAATGCCATTTAAATCCTTCTTCAGTTCTATGTATTCCATTATAATTCAAACCTTTTTATACCCTGAACCCATTGAAAATGGGTAAAAAGGGTATTATGTATTTGTGCTAATGTATGTAACAGGCAGAAGGAGGCATCTCCGAACCCATAAAGTATATATATTCTTGATCAGTACAACTGCAGAGTCGATCTAGCCCGATGTCCGTCTGTCTATCCGTCCGTCCGTCTGTCCGTCCGTCTGTCCGTCCGTCCGCCCGTATGTATGAACGCAAGGATCTCAGAACCTAAAAGATCTAGAGACTTGAAATTTTAGCTGTAGGTCCTCCTAGAGCCCGAGCAGATCGAGTTTGTTTCCTATATTCGATAAATTGCCCCGTTTCAAAGTAATCGATAAAAATCGATATCGAAATCCTGTTTTTTGAGCTAGAGTCACCAAACTTGACATGTCGCTTCCAGAATAGTATATATATATCAAGTATCTCTAGTCGGAAGTTCCCGACTAGAACCTCTTACTTGTTAATATTAAACAAATAACGAATTAAGAGCTGTATTCATTATGCAAAAATAAATGGAGTTAATTTTAAAGTTGTCTTCCAAATTGATTGAGTGGCTGTACAGCAATCAGTTGTAATGCCACGATTAACTGTTCAGCCCTGAGACCTACTTAAAAATTAAAATTAAGCAGAGAAAGGTTTGGTTGGGAGCTGCATGAATAATGCCCCGAAGAAGCCAGAAGCGGGTTGAACTGGCATTGTCTTTGGGGTTGCGTGCTAAGTGGTAATTACTTGTAGCTTGCCACAAAAATGGAACGATAAAAGACAGTCAAGTAGCAATGCGCAATCCATAAGCAACTGCTAACACAGATACCAGAAACGACTCTTGGCCAAGTTAGCACGGCAAACAAAAACAAATTGACACAATAATTAACTCTACTAACTGTCCAACTAGCCGACTGACTGTCTGACTATCTGTCTGTCTGTCTGTCTGTCTGACTGTCCGTCTGTTTGTTGTTTTGAACTTTTGCCGAGCTTAACACAATTTACAGCTAAATGTCCTTAGTCCTTGTTGCAGTAGCTGCGCTTCAATCGATACGAAAATTACAAACGCATTTCAGTTTTCGTCATAGCCATAAAGCTATAGACTTGACTGTACATATTGGCCATAGCTATGGATTTTTTACTAGCTGCCTCTTCTTCTCTGCCTCAACTTTCTTCCTCTTCTGGCTGCAATTATCAAATGCCTGCTGCGGCAGCAGCTAAAGAAGGACATATCCGACGATTACCATTGCTGCATTGCAAATGCGACAACCACATTTTGGCCATGCGCCCGAATTGCCAGCCAAACTGGCCAATAGCGCCAGCTTTGAAAAATATATATATATCTACAGCTTTTCGCCTGGGCCTACTCTGACCCTGGTCTAAAAATATTCACATTTGATTAAAATGTTTGGCTGAATGTGTAGACTTTTTTTTTTTTTGCCATTTTGCTGTTTGGCTTAATTGCTGGCTAATTGTTTTATTTTGCATACATCACTTTAATGGTCATGATATTTTAACGTGAATAATGTTGAAAGTTGTGATTTTGCGGTTATTTAGCTGCGGCTTTATTTTGCATGCGTGGTTTGTCGGTTGATGAAAGTTATCAAAAACTCTGCCAGCGGATATTTATGAGATATGTTTGTTAGGGAAAGTCGAGCTGGTTAGCACTTCTTCATCTGCTGCTTGGATAGGATTTCTTTTCGAGTACCAGATATATAAAGTTAAAATCAATAAGGTTTGCAATGTTGGACAAATTAAGATCCTTTCCTCTATTAATGCAATTAATTTATCAATACAAAGCACTGACTATAACTAATGACTCACTTGTGCCGCACACTTATTGTTTGTCTCCTTGTCTCTTATTTTCTAGCAGCTCCATTCGGAGTATAGGAGCACTTATCGTTGGCATGAATTTACGGGCAATTCGCGGCCAGAGGTTGTGCGTCGGGCGCCAGCGCCAAATCCAAGTCAATTTGTTGGTACGTATTCAGCAAGCCCTTATCCTTGTATTGTCCACTTATCGGGCATTATCGATTTGAATATATTATCTGTCCAAACTATTTGTCATTGTTTGTCTGTCTGTCCCAAAAGGTCCAACAAATGAGCCGCCATTGCCACGGCGAAAAAAATGCCCTGAATTAGCATATAAATCGCACGAGTTTATTATAGGATCCGAATATACAGATGCACGTCGAGATGCCAGTGCGCACCGTGCACCGAGGGTGAGTATTTTATATATAACATACATCTATTTATGTAAATAAGTATATATAAGAAAATCTACCTTAACCTTTGGTTTGACCTTGCGAAATGCGAGCACATCAAATTGCTGACTATAACAACGACTGCCCCACGACCGATGTTAATGCGAAATTTGTTGCCTAAAGGGAATTGTACGTGAAAAATGAAATCATTTTTACATAAAGTTGTCGGTGTACAATGTGGGCTGGCTGTGCTAGGCAAATATTATGTAATAGGTGTGCATTAGGTGAGCATTTTTAAGGAAAATCGATTTCCTAAAGAAAGTATAGTAACATAGAGAACACAAATTTAAATTTAAGGAAGCGAACATATTCCATTGTTAGAGACTATTGTTGGGCCATAGGGATCGAAATTAATTTAGTTAATAAGAAAGTTGCTTTGAGTTGATGCTAATAAAAAGAACAAATGAAAGTCAATGAAAATGAACCATAAAAATTAGAATTGTTATTATATGTGTGTGGTTTTTCCCCAATGCATTCACGTTCTATTCGCACATTTAATGTCCATATTCGTAGCTGTAGGAAAAAGTATGAAATAAATTAAATTCAAAGTGGATGTGTGCACATTTATGGGTAGTCAGAAAATTGAAAAGCCGCCACCATAAAAATTCATGCGCTGTTGAAACATTAAGTGGGGCCTACGTGCAAAAAATGTGTTGGAGAAATACGAGTTTGAAGCGTGCTGTGCTTCTCCTTTTTTTTTTGCGTTAGTACATAACGCGCATTTGATAAAGAGTCTATTTAAAAAAAAAATACTATATGTTGGCTGCCTGACTTTTTGCTTAGCTTGACATTGGGCTTAATTCGTTAATGCAGAAATACGTGAGCACATGTATGTGACCAAAAGCTATGCTGAGTGGTTTCTAATACCACACACAAAAAGCCAAATGTGGCGGGGCTCGGACGGCTCTTCTCTGCCAATGCTAATTAAAAATGCGCACATGTTGCACACAAGGACACTGCCTTATGTATGTATTTGTAGATGTTCGTGTGTGCTTTATAGCACACCCTGACAATAAATAATTAATTGAGTTTTACTTGGGCACGGGGCTTTGCTGCTGTTGTGCTACCTGATCATGTTCGTCAGCATGACGTGTGCGTTATATTAATGAGGTGCTAATTAACTGAAACACACATACACACACACACATACACAAACATCTGTGTGCGTATGTCTTTTTATTTGTAGTCGGAGGAGCGTGGCACACCTTCGCGCCGCAGCAAATCGGAAGGACCACCCGTTGTGCCCAAAGGACGCCCTTATCCCATTGCAACGGAGATCGATGGAACTACTAGTAAACAGGTACACAATTGTCAGTTAGCTAACTAATGTCACTTACCTAATGTCTTAAGCATCAAAGGATGATCGACCAATATTCTATACCATACTATATACGTATATCCATATATAACCCAATGTTCTTATGAGCGCCTGCAGTTATGCTACCAAACATGTTTCGGGCTTATTTAATGCATGTGTCGCTGAAAATAAATGCTTAACCCCAGTGACAAAAGCTGAAAATGGCACTTGAAGCTTGCAGATGACAAGTTTCCGCGAAACAGCGAAATCATTAAATTTATATCCCTTTTAAGACTTTACAACAAAAGCTTTGAAAGCACATGAAAGCTTTAATTAAGCAGCTGAACGAGAACAAGTAAGCTTCAAACGATGTTAAATTAGGTTAAATAGGTTAAACTGAAAGGTTTAAAAGCACATGGCAAAATGAACTTGCGAGTCTTACATGAAATATACAGCTTTCAATGAGCTTTTACGTTTCCTGTACATTTGAAACTTTTTGAAAGCTGTTGAAAGCATTAAAGTTTTAAACTTAATAAGTTGTCAGTTTAACTTCTAATAGTTTCAATACTTAAATAGCTCAAAATTATATTTATTTGCCTATTCAGAAAATATAACAAAAATAGTTTCCAACTCTTGTCACTTCAAAGTATTAACTTCTAATAGTTCCAATACGTAAAATAGCTCAAAATTATATTTATTTAAATAAAGCTTTAATTGCTTGACTATTCCGAAAGTATAATAAAAATAGTTGCCAGCTCTTGTCACTGGGAAACAAAAGCATTTCTCTAGCTTTAATATTTAATGACTTTTTAATTTACGCTCTATGACCGAACTACGTCTAGTATAATTTCCATTCAGAAACTATCTGTATTTATATGTATACTCTGCTGTACCACTCTATTGCATGTGCTGTACTTTAATGTACATATGTCTCTGGCTTATAACTATAAATATGTCTAAGTGCGAGTAGCTGCAATGGCAACGCCCTATCTCAATTGCGACACGTTCTCAAAGTTGTCAGACTACAAAATTGCTAACCAGCATGATTTTATGCCATGTCATGGCGCCGTGAAATAGAAAAAAAACTAAAAATATATATAAGAAAGAAACTGTCGCCAATGCCGATCTGAGATAGGGTGCGACTCATCGGACCAATGGACCAAACATTGGAACCGACGACCCAGCGACGCGCAACAATTTCTATTAGGATTTCTATTTTCTCTGTTCACTGTCGCTGTCTATCAGTTCCCCCTACTTCCTGCTGCGCCTCCGCAGGCCCTCTATTATAGGCAAGCTCTTTTATATATTTGCGAGTGTGTATGAATGTGTGTGTGTGTGTGTGCGTGTGCATGCATGTGGCACATGTCGTTACATTTGTAACTTGTTTCTGTCTCGCCATTGCAGCTATGGGAAATTTATGTAGTAACTGTGTGTGTGTGTGTGTAAAAGTGCCATTGAGTTGACTGTCAGAGCGTCAGTTAGTCACAGACAAACACTCGACCTGAATGTAAATTTTTAATCTGCAAAACTCTTCAACATTCGCATAAGTTGCCCTTACCGCTGTTTATCGATTCGTCTTTCCGCCATATATCTACCTTTATACATATATCCGCGTTACCTGTTTGCATTATATTTGAGTATCTATCAGTTGTGTCCGTGATTTTTCGGGGTTTCTTTTACATATTTTCATAATTGAATATAAGATTTCATTGAATTGAACATTAAATCTGATTAATAGATTTTCAAATCTCATAACTCTTTCAATATTTGGTCGATTACTCTGCGGATTTTTTGCTGTCTTGTCTTAGACTCGAAACTTTTATATATTTTCGGCTTAACATATAAATTTTTGTTTTTCGTAAATGAAAGAACGTTTTTTGATGACTTGCGTAAATTTTTCGTTGAGGGGCTAGTTTGAATGTCCTTTCAATCTGGGACTAAAATGGTGCCCATGGTAAAAATCGACTAATATTTGTCAAAGTTATGGGATTAACTTGTAAATTCGTTCCTTTTAAAATACTTTTCCTTTTTTTTTTCAATATTTATAAAATTCCAGTTATTTTCTTATACTTAGCTTAAGTATAAACATTGAATATTTAGAATCAATTAATGTTAAATATAAAAATTTACAAATTATACTTGCATTATGTGTATTTTTTTCTTTTCCTTCTCTCTCTTCCCCTTTCTCTCTCTCTGTCTCCCTCTTTCTTTTTCTCACTCTCTCTCTCTTTCTCTATAACTAACACGATCTCTCTCATTGTATATTCCTCTATGTTAACTGTGCTCTGATCGTCCCCCAATCAATCATAACTTACGCATACTAACCAAAATAATACTAATTAAATGCTATTGCTAATAATTATATTGAATTGTAACTTTAACAAAAAATAACGAAAAAAAAAAACTCTCAATGCGTCAATGCAATTGCTCTCTCTTTCTCTCTTTGTTCTTATCTTTTTGACTCTCTCTCATTTATTTGTTTGTTTTGTTTTTTTTTTCTGGTCTTCTCGTCTCTTGTGATTCTGCTCTTCTCTTTCGCAGGCGGGTGAGTCAAATGGCTTATTGAAAAAGACCATCACAAAATTGAGCACTGAGTATCGCCTGCAATTCGTTTGGCCCAATGACCGACGCATTAAGGGCAACGATTCAAACGTAACGACGACGGCGAGAGCCGCGGCCGGCGATTACCCAAGAAAGTCAATATCATTGGGGGCGATCCGAACGGGTCAACAGCCGGGCCAGCCGACGCACAGTCACACACATCAATATCAAACGATAGGTGCCGGCTTGCCAACGGTGCATAAAAAACGTACAACAAATCAGAAAGAAGGTGCGACAGCAATATGTCGTCGCTAAGCATTTACATACTTATACTACAAAATACATATATACCCTATTAGCGCATAGTTTCTTTCAATATCTCGTATATGTATGTAATACTAAACAAACAAAAAAAAAAAAAAATACCAAACGAGCATACTAATACAAATAATTAACATTTGATTTCAAACCATTGAGTTTCTTTACTCCGTACTAATCTTAAAAACCAAAAACCAAAAAAAAAAAAAACTTATATATCATACTAAATTTTGTTAACTAAACTTTACTTAAAAGTAAATTGTTGGACGCGCAGTTTCTGAAGAATTCAACAAATTTTAAGTTCTTTATTTTCAAGATAAAACCAATAAAGAAAAGTCTCTGCGGTGGCAGCAGCATTAAGCTCAATTTTCCAAAAAAAAAAAATTAAATATTAACAAAAATAACAATAATTTCATGCCCAATATTTTGATGCGTTGACTAGTGTTGGTAAATTACATGTAGTTTAAACATTTATCTTCACAACACTGCCAAATAAAAAAAAATGCTATAAATCGAAAATTTGCATATAAATTTAAATAAACCGATTTTCAAGTTTTTTATGTACTCGTCGTCGTACAATTTTGCTTTTCATCAAAAAATTTCACTAGTTGTATATTACATATATAAGCTTAAGTCACCCTTGATATAAACCTTTTTTAAGTACAAATATTTTATTAATTTTAGGCAAAAGAAAAAAATATATATAAATATATAGGTACACACTGTTTTTGGTTACAACATTCTTAAAGGCATATTTTTATTTAATGCTTTTATCAATACTAATTATATGTTTTCAAGCAGTTAGCATTCTCTACTCTTTCTCTCTCTCTCTCTCTCTTTGGAAGTCTTAATATCTATTTTATATAGAACGAAATTTTGCTAAATTCCTTTCCAAACGAAAAAAAGAAATACACTCACACACCCACACACATACACAAGAATATCTTTATAGCCAAAAAAAAGCTGACGTAAGTGTTGAACTAAATTCATTTTTATTAGTTCTAAATAAGATAAACAACAACTAAATGGTAATAAATAAATTACCTGACATATTCATTGCTGTTGATGGTAAGCCGTAAAATTTCATTGATCGATACTTTAATAAAATGAATAAACAAATCCCAAATTGCTTTGGCGCACCATAAATACAAAATGAAAGACAAGGACACACATGTCCTGGACAGCCCGAAAACCTCTCTCCACATTATCACGTATCAATGTAATTTTACGCAAATGATGAAATAGCTAAGTGTAGTCGGAGCATGCGGTCGCAGGTTGTGTAATGTTGTTTTTTTTTTATTATTATATATACTTTTTTATTATACATTTTTTTTGTATTTTTTTGGTATAAAGCATAGGAGTTCCGTTCAGTTTAGTTACGTTGCATGCGAGAAACGACGAAAATGGAATTAGTATCATGCATTATTCATCATTCATTATATCCACATTCATCGTACATATAAAAAGGGTATACATACGTCAGCTAGCTTTAGGCAAATTAATGTAAGAGAATATCACTTACATAATTAATTAGGAGTATTGGAGTTTTTTTTTTATTTTTTTAGTTTTATTTCTTGGAAAAGCAATAATAAGCAATTTTTAAATAACTGAATAGAAGCATAAAAATTAAAAACCAGAGAACGGAATAAATTATTGATTAATAACTAATCGAAAAAAAATGAATAGAATAGAAATAGAAATATAATGAGATTAATTATAATATTATTGATATATTTATGTTCATTTCATATACATTAAAATTCCTTCAAAAAACAAAACACGAAAAACAAAAACCCGACACATTTAATCAATAACTCAAATTTACAGTCAAAGCCAAGTGCGTAGGTAAGACAATCCAAAAACGTAAGCCAAAATCGAGATGTATATTCATTAAAATAATCTATATAGCTAATATTAACATATATATATATATCATTTGAAATGCAAGTGCAATATGAACAAGTGGCTTCCATTGCAAAGCTTTTAAGTCTTGCCTTTATACCTTGAGCTTGAGAAACTTATTTTTAGTGCAGCCTGAGAATCAATTGGCCGTAGTGCTTTGAAAAAAAACCAAACAAAAACAAAATCAAATAAAAAAAAAACAAAAATAAAAAGAGATTTAATTATATATTAACACTGCGCTGCATTGAACTCGAAATGTTTATATTTTTGTATGAATATTTAACAAACAAATTGGTTCGAATTTCGTTCTATATTCCAAAAAGTGACCCCAAACAAACCCCACATAAGCCGAAAACATCCAACACGCTTCAAAAAACCTGCAAGAAAATTGTATTCAAAAATATCTATATTTTTTATATTTATTTATTTAATTGACTTGCTGCTTAGCGAAAGATTTGAAAATGTTGATATTTCTTATTTGGGTTTCAATTTATTGAGAATTCAGAATTTTGCGCCAGAGTAGCCAGAACCACCACTAACCACCACTAACCACTACTAAAAACACTCACAACCAACCACCATGAACCAAGCGCCTATTTTCGGCTCATTTGATTTGCTGTACAAAAACTCACCCAATCCTCAGTTGAAAGTTTTTCTAGCGAGACACTTTTGCCAACTTATTCATTTTGTTATCCTTAAAATATAAAAAATACCTTTGTTCTTTAGTTGACACTTGAAGCAAATGAATACTTAATTATTCGTCTATTTATTTTTCTTATCTTTATGTAATTGATGAAAGCAACAAAACTCAATTGAATCGCATCTTATTTTAAATGGTACAGAGTTGCTTAATTCTTTTATCTGTGTGCTTTCAGCCAAACTGCATGAGCTGGAGCCGTTGGTTAGCGACACGGATGATAGAAAAACACACGAGAAGTATGATAACAATTAAATGGCATATGCTTTTATTTTAGTTCTGTTTTTAAGTCCATTCTCAATATCAATCTCTCATATGCTCATGAGCTTCAACCATATCAGCGAGGCCACCAATCAGTACCATCCAACCACAGCAAGGCCAGCCATCATAGACCCACCCATTGTCCATCCAAGCAAGAAATAACCCACCTGCCAAATGTGTCGCACTTGCCACTAACATTCATCTGAATTTTGTTACCTTGTTTTCTCTCTATTATCATATATACTGATTGCAATCGTGTTTCCCACACAGACAAGTGAATTTTGTTGAGCGCAAAATTGTCACACGTCCGTTTTCGCAAGCAATCGATCACGAGCGTATCAATCGCTATATTACGAAAAGGGAGGACTTTGGTTTTGCCGATGGCACAGCAGCTGCCAAGGATCATTACAAGCAAGGTCAGCTGGTGGTCACGAATGGCAGTGCACCGCCGCATTCGAAACCGAATTTGGACTTATGGTTCAAGGAGATGGTCGAGCTGCGCAAGAAGGCCGGCGAATATAAGGTGAGTACATAATATAAAGACCTTATCATAATTGAGACCAAATAATTGATCATTATTCAGAGTCGCGGCTGGGGCGTAGAAATCGATCCGGAATTGTATAAGAAACAAAGGGATCTTTGGGATCAGGTTTCTAAGCGCAGCTCGCTATCAGCACTGTCCCTAGCATCCACTTTGCACAGGTAAAATCAAAAATCAAATTGGCTTAGTACGAATTTTTAACAAGCTTAAGTTTTATGCAGACCTATTACCAAGGAGGAGAAAGAGCAGGAGAATAATAAAAAATCAACGCCATTGCAAAAAACGACACAGCCACAAAAGCCACGAGTTCCTGGCCAAGCCTATTTGATTGATAATAAGGATGAGATTTCAGCACTGCCAGCACGTTTTAGTAATATACGCCATCACTTGGAGCGCACCACGGGTCCGGGTAAGCTCAGATTAAAGTCAACTAGAGTTGGGCGTCTGGCTCTACACGAGCTTGTTTTTGAACAGGTCGGTTAAAACGTTATGAGTATCAAAAAGTATGAGTATACCTAACAATGAATAGTACTGAGTAAAATGAGTAGTACTTAAAAAATACTCACTTTTAAAAAGCGCAGTTAAGAGTGGCATTAAAAATTACATGATTACTCGTTTCCGAATGAGTATCTACCAAAATTGTATGAGTAGTTAGAAGGTTGAGTATACCAAACAATGAGTCGTACTGAATAAAATGAGTAGTACTTATAAAATACGCATTGTTAAATAGCGTAGCTTAGACTACCACTAACAATTGAATGAATAGCAATGTGTACTCATTACTGAATGACGATCTATCAAAATTGTGGCACAATGAGTGGCACTCAAAAAAAACTCTCTTCAGATATATTAAGTATTTTAGTGAAGTCGCGCGACTCGTTTTCAACCAACATTCGCCCAACTCTAGTTCTTAGCTGCAGTTCCATAATTCCATTTCCATTCGTTTAGCAGATGTTGAGGAGGGCGCCTTACTGCCATCCCCCACGCGGGAGAAACTGATGCCAGCTATGACCAAACGTGAGTCCGAGTCTCAACGTGGCAGTCCCAAGAAGACGGCCCTCTCGCGTCATGGCTCGCCGCAAAAGGGCAGCCCCCAAAAGGGCAGCCCCAAGAAGGTCCTCAAAAGTGAGTAGTTGCCAATTAAAGCTTTAAGTATTTTATCTTCAACTCTGACTGTAGCAAAAGGTCTACACGTAACACTTTAATAGAAGTATTTTATTTCGAAGCAACAACTAATACATAGTTACACAAAGCACTTTCAAGTACTAAATGATGCAGGTCACAATTGTACACGCCCAAAAAATAAGTATACGCCCAGTTAAACAGTCTTATGATTTATTTGATTCATTTGTTTTCCCAATAGTTTGCTTAACAGCTTAAAGTACTTTGGTTTGCTTTCAACTCAACGGGTTTTCCGTTTGGATATTTGTCTTACAACGAACTTTCAATCTATTCTCAAGTGCACTAAATAAACGTTTTGATTATGAGATTTGTGCACAATATTTTATTTTAAGTTAGCTTGCTTTTAATTGAGATTTTGAGTTTGTTTTTTGCGTGTTTATTTTGAAAGAAACTAATGTTTATTTGTACAGACTATCTGTACATATGTATGTACATATAACTTGTCTAAAAAATGCTAATTATGGAGATTGTTTTTGTTGTTAAGGTAATTTTTTTTACACAAAATGTTAACTAAGTGTTACTTAAGCATAAGAAAACGGAATCATGTCACTTTAAATATCAAAAGCTTATTGAGAATTAGACGCGTTTTCTACAGGGAATTTAAAAAAGGGTATTTAAAAATAAATAGTATTTTAACAGTAAGAATGAAAGATTGCGAAGTAAATTCAAAGCTTTAGCTTATATTCAAACAAATATTGGATAGAAACTGAAAAAAAAAACTACAGATCAGAGAGTGAGCATATATAAATTTAAGCATATTTCCAGATATTCATCATGTATATAGTAGAAAATCACACAAAATGCAACATCAGTGTTAATTGAAATCACATCAAATCATGGATTAATAGGGTGAATGTCTGTTGCTGCGTAACATGTGTGAAGCAAGTATAGCTAGGAGTTGTTAGAGTTGTTTTTCAGCATATTTTGTAGTGCCCTGTACAGAACGTTCACACACACACTAGTAGACATATTTCACTCACAATCATTACTTAAGAATACTAGAACAACTCATACTTTTATCATCAAACAAATCGAAAAAAAAAAAAAACACACTACAAATCTAACTGACGTATCGAAACCAAAAACGACATCTCTTCATCTTCATTTTGCGTGGTTCAGCACGCTCGCAATCTGTGGGTCCTGGCGTCGCCGAGAATGAGTCACCCAAGCGTCAGATACGCTCGGCGAGTCAAGCGCCGACGAGCCGTAAAAAGGTACCGACAACATCGGCCGGAACTGACCGTAAGCCACGCCCATGTAAGTAGCTAAACGTTGCGCAAAAACCACCCACAAAAATTCAAAAAAAAATACAAACAAAAGAAACAGAAAAAAATACTACAATACGCACGCACGTCTTCATCGTGTGTTCGTTCATTGCCTTGTGTTTTATTTTATTTTTCTTTTTAATTGACTTAAATTAATTCCTAGTTTGCATATAAATGTCATTAGTTAAAATTAGATTTGTTTAGATTTGTTTGGTTAGTTTCATTTGCAATTGATTTGACCTTTAAACTATAGTTTTAGTATTTAATCACACACCGCAAGTTTGTACGTTCATTACGAAACATACTTCAACTGGAAATTTACATAGTTAAGTGTCTAAATGCATAAAAAAAATAAATAGCTAAAAAATTAATACAAAATATATGCGTCTAACGGACGTTTATTAATCTCTGTTAGTTTAGTCTCTGGTCTTGCGGTTTATAATTCGTGTTTCATATTTTCTATATTTTTGTTTTCACTTCAAATTTTGTTTTCTGTTCTGTAATTAAGCGTTTGATTGGTCTTTCGAATAAACATTCTAAAGTTTAGCATGTTGAGTGAACAAAATACTAACAAAACTAAATAACATAAACTAATACATACTAAACGTCTTATAATACTACTAATACTAATACCGAATTGTAAGTAATACTAACAAAAGTCAGTGTTTAACAACGTCTAACATACATTAAGATGTGCGTGTTGTGATTCGAACCTTTTTGATTTTGGAAATACAAATATTGTTTTTAAATTATGTTGTAAGCGTGTGTGTTTGCTAATAACATACTGTTGTTGGCTTTCTTGTATGTGTATAATATGTTAATTTTAATGTTTATGCATATTACTGAAAGGAAAACTGATCTTTGGCATGTCAAAGTCTTAATACCTATGCAGATATATAAGCACATTCAAATCTTAAAACTCTGACAAAGAAAAATTAAGTTTGAAGTCTAAGAGAATTTACTTAAAGTAAATAAATTATAGAAAGAGCATTCCACTGCAAGGGTATTATGATATTGTGCATTCCAACAGAAACTAGAAATTGTGAGACGGTTGTACATATTTTTGAAATTTACATAATGTTCAACAAATATCCATAAAGAACCAGCAATTTTATTTATTTTAACAATGAATAAGGTTAAATATTTTTTATAAAATTTCTTACCATAAAAAAATTAACAACTTTTCAACTGTGAGGCACATATGTTTCGATTAATAACTAAGGTATATTAAGTTAACAAAATTGTTCTAGCTGTATGTTATGTTAACTAACATGAATATGCTGAATAACAGTTTTTTTTTTCAAGTAGACTAACCCACTTTGAAAACTCTCAACATAAACTAACAAAAGAGATAAAACGTCGCGTATTACAATTGTTTACTTATCTAGTTTATTTCATGCTTTAATAACTTTTGCCTTTATTTTTGTTGCATTTTTGATTCGCCGTTAATGAAAAGAAAATTAAAATATACATTTACAACAAAAATTTATATTCAAATTTGTTTTTTCATGTGCCTTTTGTTTTGGTCTGAAAACAAACCAAAAATATGACAACCAAAATCCAAAAACTCGACGCAAAAAACGAAAAACATGAAAACGAAAACAAAACAAAACAAAAAAAAAAAACTGCTTACGTTTTTATAGCCACCCTATCCACAACATTCCAATCCCGCATTAAAAGTAGTTCCCTACCACCGCCTAACGGTAAAGTAGCCGCAGCGCCAACAGCATCAACCGCAGCAGCAACAACAACAGCCGCCCGTACAGCAGCAAAATCCAATGCTAATCATGCTAATCAATCACATATATCACAATGCAAGAGCTACAACAAAAGCGGCAGCAACAAGCCAGCAGCAACATCTGCAAAACAACAACTACAGCAGCAGCAGCAGCAACAGCAACAGCAACAGCAGCAATTGCGTAAGAAAGACAAAGATAGATCAAATATTAGTTGCATTAGTCAAGTTGGTAGTAGTGCAAATAGTGCGAAGCATCAACAAAACAAACAGAAACAACAACAGTTACAACAACAACAGCAGCAGCAGCAACAACAGCAACAGCAGCAACATAGGCATGTTGCTGCTGCAACTGACACGACAGCAACAGCGGCAACAACAGCATCGGTTCCAACAGCAACAGCAACAACAACAACAACAACAGCAACCACAACGGCACCCGCCCGACCTGTCACCATCAACATCAAACGCCTAACGGTACCAGGTCAGGATAGAAAATTGGCTGAAAGTGAGTAGAGTTTGTCCGAACAACTTGAAAAAAGCAAAAAAACAAAAAACAAAAATCTCTGCAATAAAATACAATTTGATACACCCTTATAAAACAAAAACTTATCTAAAATGGAAATGCTGTAAAATGACATCTGATGCGCGAAATGTTTGTGTTGCAACTTTTGTAAACAAAAACGAAAACAAAAACAAAAATCTTAAATTAATTACAAATAATTGCGCATTTTACACCTTGTCAAAAACTGTGTTGTACACAAACTAGTGTTGAGTAATGAAATTAACAATTATGATTTACGAATTGGCATATTGAAATTGGGCGGCACCTACTATATCATTTTTTTTTTTCTTAAATGTTCTATGTTCTAGCAGCCATGTGGAATCATGTATATGTGTGTGTGTGTGTGTGTGTGTGTGTGTGTGTGTGTGCGTGTATTGGTAAAAACAGTATTTTGGCATTTTTCCTAAGATTGGCATAGTTCTGGTATTTTGTTTTGTTGTGTGTCGTTATTCCACAGGGTTGTTCAAGTTAATGAAAATTCAAAATTCTTGTATTTGTTGTCAAAGTTGTCTAACCAACAAACGTAACGTGTTATTTAATGTTAGTTGTTGTTGTAATCAATGTTTGTACTTGTTGTCTTTGCAGCCGTGTGTCTAAGTCAGCCCATATATCGTTTTCATCTATGCCTCATATCATTTGTAGTACTTTAATTCTTCAAAACTGTTCGAATTTTTCTTTCGTACTTCTCTGTGTTATGTGTCTCAAGTAGTGAGTCTGTCTAGCGTCTAGTTGATAAGTGTTTCGATTTTTTTTCTTCATTTTCTTCACAATTTACAACAAAACACTTTACATACATACAAGGCTATGTTTATATATAGTCTTAGAATAAAAATTAAAAATCGCTTACGTCATATACATAGAAAATACTTAATTTATGAAACCTAAAGACATGCTTTTTACCCGGATAAAAGAGTAGGGTATTTGCATATTTTATTGACGATTTTAGAATAGTTTTAATATACAAACGAATTCTTAAAGTTCTAATATTTTAGATTAATTCATGACACTTTTGCCTACCTAAAGTGAATTATTTAAAAAGAATAAATTCAGTCAATCAAGGAAGGCTGTATGGAGTCGCTAGGCCAGACTATGAGCGGGGCCTAGTGCATTAAGTGGGCTAGTCATAAAGGCAGGGGTACTTATACACAATAATCGATAGACGGACCTATCGATAGAGCTGTCTTCGTTGCCTGTTACACAGCCACAAACCAAAACAGAAACATAATAAAACAAATTTTGTTTGCAACTCAAAACTATTTTGCTCCTAATTTTAATGCGTGCGCCAAGTAGCTTGTATGCATACTTTATTTTATATTTAATTTGTACATTTTGCCGCTTTTCTGTGTTAAATGTCTCTTGAATGTGGCATGCCCTTCCTCTGCTCTCTTGTGCGCTTTGTATAAATAAAATAAAATAAAATATGAAAAGCAAAAGTATTTATAATTTCAATTCAATTCTTACTAACAAATTTCGGTTGCCTTTTAAGCTTAATGCTTAATATGTGCTTTATTTTCCTAAGTTCAATTAAGTTTCAGTTAAGTTTTTCTTTTATGTTTAAAAAAAAAAACAGAAATAAATTTAAAACATATATTTCTATTTTAAGTTACAACTACTAACCTACTATATAAACTCGACCACAAAGTTTGCTTAAAGAAATATTAAAAAAAAAAAAGAAAAACAAAATACCAACAAAAATCTCATCAGCTGCAGAAGCCCAAAATTAAAACGAACAAGTTAACGCGCCTTAAATAAAATATATAAATATATGTTTAAATCAAGTAAATCAAAGGCATATATATATTTTTTTTTAATTTTCTATAAATATTTTCAACGCCAACAGACGAAGCCGAAGATGGCCGTGAGACTGCAATTTCAATTTCCAGCTGCAGTCCCCAGCCAGTGCCCGAGGTGCCCGACGAGCCATTGGTTAAATCGCCGCCAGAGCCCACAAGGGTTAAATCTCCGGAGCAGATTATAATGCGCTCTCCCGATCCAGTCAACTGGACGGTGCCCTTGGACACTGGCAAGACATTTACCGTAACACAAAATGTCAAAGAGGGTAAAGATGCTTATGAAATATTCTAAAAAAACAAATTGCCATTTTTATTTATGCAATTTGCAAAATTTCTTAGGCGAGAACTACAGCCGACCTCAGAGCGAGATAAAAGCGTCAACGCCGGTGGAAAAGCCACCACCGCCACCACAATCGGCACCGCCACAACTAACCGAACAGGCTAAAATGGACGGTAAGCCTTTAAGCACGCTTCAATAAACGCCACTTCCATAAAATCCAACCAAGAAAAAAAAAAACCAAATATGAAGTCGACATAAGTAAATCAAGAAACCAAAAAATAATACAAAAAAAAAAAAAAAATAAAAACCACACACAAGAAAAACAAGAAAAAAACAAAAAAACAATCGCTTTTACAAATATTTATATATTAACTCGTATTTAAATATATGTATCTGTATATGTATATGTATGTATCGCTACTCACAACCATCATCCAAAAATCCAACCAAAAAAATCAAATCATCGTTAAGCAATCTTCAAAATACCAATCGCAACACCAGCCAATGCCAATCTCAAAAACTAAGCGTAAATATAATGCAAACAACTTTCCTCTCTCTCTCAGTATTAAGCCAAATTTCGCAATTAAAAAAAAAAAAAAAAATCGTTAAGCCAAAATGCGTATTCTCACATAGCGTATCAATACGTAGTTCCTTTGCGTAACATAACAAAACACTATTTCCACAACTATTTCCCCCCTCCACTGCCATCCACTGAACGTACCACAAACCCACACACAGCCTGGAAGTCCAGCGGCAGCCCCACAACCAGCGCAGCCGCCGCCGCCGCCGCCGCCTCTGCCGCTGTCTATGGCAAAACGCTGACGCCCACCCAACCGGGCGGCGCGGTCCGTTGCGATGCCAGCATCAAGCCGGAACCGGCTATTTCATCGTCCTCATCGACAGCGACTGCGTCCACGGCACGTTCCACCGCCGCCGATGTGTTGGAGAAGGCGCGTGACCGTTTCGATCGCTTCTGGGGCGGCAGCAGCAGCAGCGCCACCAAGGAGGAGAACGTCTAAACGAAAATTGAGTCAAAAGTGTACGAAGTGCAAAATGTGTTGGACATGAGCAGAATTCAATTGTGCAAACAGCGTTCAAATTTTGACACTTAATGTCGCCCCACAAGCATGCAAAAGTCACATTACTATGTATAACCTACAAATTCAGCGCTGCGAAATTATCGATAGTGCCACAGCTCGATAGCTTTTAAAGTCGATAACATCGATCGATTTATAAACGTTTAGTGTGGTATTCTATTCTACTAAAACAAATTGGACATTAGTCATACTTATCATTAATACGTACCTTTACTTTTTATTTTTATTACAACTCTTACTAATGACGAGTTAATTAATTAAAAGTACAAAGAAAGTTTATCGATCATTACACGCACGCGCACTTACTATGCTATCGAGATTACCATCGATAGTTTTGCAGCACTGTTCTCTATCCTATTTCGGCTAAGCTTATAAAGAAGAAAACTCGAATGCTTAGTAAATTATACAAAATTCAAATTCCAACATCCACGTTAAAGTATCCAATAGGAATATACTAGGATTTCAACTGAATTTAACTTAGATGATATATTTATCATTCAGGGAATCAGTCGTATTCTGCCCGAAATATGATTTTCAGCATTGCACATAAATTATTCTTTCAAAAGTAATACACTTACTTTCACTGCCTATAATCCCCCAAAGAAAGATCAAGAATTTTGCAAACACCCAAACACAAGCTGTTCAACAACGCAGAAAACAAAAAAAGAAGATATAAAATAAAGTTCTTCAAAGTATTTCGACATAAAAAGAAATCTTATAATAATAATATAACGCAAGGACAACATCACCGCAGAGACCCGTCCAACAAAAAAAAAAGTGAACAAGATTAAGAAAAAAGTGTTTAAGGTAAAAGCCTCAAATTTTTGTAACTTTCATTAAGCGAGACAAACAAAAAAACACAGGAAACTCTAATGGCAAATTTCTTATGCTGAGTAGAATGGGTAATGCATAGGGTGAACTAAGCTGATCCGGCAAATAGAACACAAACTTGAAAATAGATTTTGCACATGAACTACAATTAAAACAAAATTAAAAGATATTTATGATATTTTAAGTAAATTCTTTGGCTATGATGGTTATAACACACACACACACACACACTTCGAAACAACACACTCAAACACACACAAATGTACTGTACTACAACAAAAATGAAGCGAAATGTTATACGATAATTGAAGTACGTTTACGATTTTGCAAGACGTTCACCTATAAAAGGAACTGTGAAATTACTTTTGCGACATACATTTAAAATATAAATATGGCATTATCTAATAGAACTAAAAAACAGAAACATTGATGCGAATTGAGTGTTAGCAAATTAACTAAAATGCTTCCCAAAGAAAATACAAACATTTTACAACACTGAGAAGTTATTTGCAAATATTAAATACATGAACATGAGCGTATTGATTTTTTCTGAGTACAAAACAAAAACATACTTAAATGCTAAATATTTATTATGAATTTGCATCAGTAACAGGCAAAGTTTAAGTTAAATAATTAAAATGGAAATCAGCTATATAATTTCACAAAAAAACCTAAAGCTTAAAATGTAGTGTTAGTAAAAATAACTGAAGTTAAAATTTCACTACTGATTAGTTTGTGATCAACTTCAGTCTTGAGCTTAATTGTTGCTTGCATATACATTTCTATTATTAAAAGCAAACTAAAACAAAACACATAAGTCTTTATATATACATATAAAACAAACTAAAAAAAAACAAAGCTTCAGTGGTATTTATTAAAGCAGTTAAAGTATGTATTTTTATATGTTTTTCATTGAAACGCTTGTCTGTTAGTTGAAGCTGTTGAGTTGAAAACTAAGTCTTAAAGTTAAAAACACAACCCAGTTTAAAAAAGAAAAACCATGTTATCCAGTTCCCTCAACATTAAAAACTCAACAAACGTTTGTTTATAAGATTTCAAAAAAAAAAAAAAAACAAAAATAAAACCATATTGCATTAGTTAGAAACGATTATAAGCAAACGCTTAACTATATAAAGCCTTGATGAAATAAAAAACCCCGACACACACACACAGTCTCAAAACTCTCTTTCCAATTACAATTTGATGTAACAGAATGACAAAAAAAAAAAACAAAAAACAAACAATAATGAAATAATACAAATTTGAAACTCATTTAGTTTTAACTATCGTACTTAACAAATTTTAGGCAACTTTAATATGAATCTACTTAAGAACAAACTTGATATATATTCTAGCTTGTTTACAACAAAAAATGTATACAAATAAATCGTAAAAACATATATACCACAGTACGATCTGATTGGTGTGCTATATAGTCAGGTTCAAGCATATGCATTGCATAAAATTTCCAAAAAGAAAAATTTCAAATTATTTGTTTCGATATCGTAAAAGACATTTTTAAGCAAATTTACATTCACGCCAGTATGCAAACGCATTTTAAAAATTTATAATTAATAAATTGCAATAAAATATCTAAAGAAATACCAATTTAAAAAACTACTCGATAATTTTGGCCAATTGTCACATACATAACAAGAAAAATAAAAACCAAGGCACACCAAATAGCCTTGCAAAGATTTAAAAAAGAACTTATAAAAAGGACATAAGACCGTATGTACCAACTTAACAACAACATAAAAGCAAAAATAAAATATAATATACCTACAGAAAGTGTAACAGAAAATTAAAAAATAACAACAAGTCAAGTGATTGTTAAAAAAAAATATATATATTAAAAACAATTGTATGATCAAATAAATGAAAAGCGCATATAAACGTTTTAAACAATTGTCTGTCGTTTAAATTCCAAACCGTTTTTTTAAGCAATTTAACCAATTACGTTGGCGATCTGAAAAACAAAATCAAACATTAGCTTTGTTTTGTGTTTAGTTTTTATTATTTTTGCTATTATTATAAATTTGGATACTATTACAATTTTCATAAAGAAAACTTTTGTCTATTATAATTTGCATATTATATAGAGGGGGTAAAAAGTATTCGGATTGCGTCGGTTAACATTCTTAATATTTTTGCTCGGACTTTGTGGAGTTTGCATTAAAATATTTCAATTATAGATTTTGAGACAATTTCTACCAACAACAAGTAAGGAAATTCTTCAGGTATTCCGTTTTATGTTAATCTCGTTCTAAAGTTTGTTAAGATTCTAATTTAATGTTTCATTTTTATCAACAGGATTTTGCGTGACACTTTTTTCATTATTTAATAAATATTTAATTTACATTGTATTATATTTTTTTTACTATTATGCGTTCACAAAAACTTTCAATCAAATAGGTTTTTTTAGTTTAGTTTGCAGGGAGATTTTTTTTAGAAAGCTGTTATCACAGTATTGTTAAAATGAAATTAAAATGCATTAGGTTAATTTTTGTATATTGGAAAATAGAAAATAATTAAAAAATATATTAATTAGTTTACATTCATAAACTGAAAAGAAAAATATAATTTTTTGATAAGCAATTTTTGTGTTTTTTTCTTAATTGTTTTTGTTTTTTAAAGGTTCCTCGAAAATACATGTGTCGAAAAAATGTTTAAGTTTTTGGTTGAGTTAGTTTTGCGTTTAGCTTGATTGTTATTATTAATGCGGTTTTAAACGATTGTATTAATTCTTTTTTATTACGTTCGCGTATTAGCTTCTTAACTTATTTATTCAAATTGGAATGGGGTTGGTTGCCTTGTCATACGAGAATTATGGTAAGCGTAAATAGTTGCACAAATATGTGACTAAGCTTGAGTGTTGAGTTTGGTGCTACACAAAGACAATGGAAAAAAGTTAGTGGTTCAGTATTACAACAAATCAATTGAGCTGGTCTGGGCTCATATATACTTCAATATCAAAATATATAATATATAGACGTCGCTCAAGTGATTTGTTATTTGAATATATATCTATATATGCGCTATACGCTTTTCTGTGTGTGTCTTTTCCAAAAAACTCACTCAATTGGAGACAGCTTGAGCAAATGTTTTGAAAGCAACGCTAGTTAGTATATATGTATGGGTGATGTAACGGTCTGATTGAATGATTGATGCAACGTTGAATTAAACACAATTAACACATTTTAATATACTCATATGCAGTTATATATATAAATATATATATATGGTATGTAGTATTCGTACATTTGCTAATTGAAAATAGGTAACTATAAAAATTTAGCACAATTTTTTAAACATTACAGTTAAGACTCAAGTTGTTTAAATTTTGTTGTTTTTTTTTGTTTTTTTTTTTAAACAATTAATAGGTATACCAAAAAGTTGCTAGCTAAATTGTTGTATTCAAATAAATAGGGCGCTGGCGCCCCGCACCAAGACGTACCCTTTTGCTTAATCTTAAACTTAAATTTAAGTTAATTTAAATAAACGCATTAAGAGTTTTGTTTTTCGATTATACACATAAAAATGACACATTTAACAGACTTTTCTTTGTTACTTATAATATTTGCATGGATATTTTAGAGTGGGCTACGTAAACATTTAAATTAAGTTTATCTTTTTAACTATAACTAAGCATATGTAAAGGTTGCGTGGTTTTGTTTTGTTTTGTTTTTTTCTCATTGCCACAATTGTAAATTTGAAAATTGCTTATAAATTTAGAATAATCTTTAAGTACTTTTTGTTTTAACTGGTTTAAGTGGGGGGCTTAGTTAAGTGAATGGCGTGTGGGTGGGGTGGAGGGGGGGATGGGTATGGGGAGTGGGGTGGGGGGAGGGGGGAAGTTTTGCTAAGCGTAAATTGAATTTCAAAGTGTACTTAAAACTAAATGCATTTTGTTATTTTGATTTAGCACGTGCCACTACATTTAAATTCGTTTAACTGCCAATTAAATAATTTTTGCATTTTGACATACATATATGTATATATTTTGAGTATATATGTATAGGTACATATTCCAAAATGAAATTCAGTTCGCTTACGTGACTAGAACAGAAAATGATAAGTCTTCTCAAAACATAGCTATATTTATTTATGTATGTCTGTATATATGTTGATGGAAAAATAAATTTGTTATATATGTATATACTTATTTGTATATATATATATGTGTATATATGAATGTAACGATTTTCTTTTAGATATTTAGTTTGTTTTTGTTTTCTTGATTTTGAATTAAATACAGATAAATGTTTCTTTCATTAGTCCCGCTCTACGGGTAAGCGTCGTCTTGCAGCGCCCCCAAATACAGAAAAACAGGGGTTATATCTTTTAGCTAAGCTAGTCTATAAATAGTGATTGTTATATGCAATTATCTCATATAAAATTAACTCGCTTGCCTAACATACTAAACAGCCACGCCCCAACATTAACTAATCCAAGCACAACAAGCTTCTCTTTGAGTTGGTTATTCATTTTGCTTTTGTTGTTGGCTTGGACTGAATTCCATTTTGTACTTTGCTTAGTTCTCGGTCAGATCCTTGATGGCTTGGAGTATGCGTTTCACATGACCCACTTTAACCACACCCAAATCCTTAAGATCACGCCTGCCCAAAGTGAGCAGCTCCTTGCCGCGTATGTCGTTCTTGAGAAAGCTATCCACATATTCCGATAACTGCATCGTTTCCAGCCAGGTGACCACCTCGTTGACGCTCCAATTGCTTGCCGCCTCCCGTGTATTTGTGAGTGGAGGCTTAAACTGTTGCTGGCCAGCGGTGGAGCCGGAGCGTAGACGTACCCAAAATGGACGTGATTTGCGGCGTCCATCGGACTGTGGTTTAAGGAAATGAAGTGTTAGCTCAAATAGTATTCATTGAAGATATAGTTTGGTTCTTACCTCCTCATTGGGCGCCAGCACATTGAAGTAGGCGCGCAGTTTGCCATCAATGCATTTCTGGACGGAGCACTTCTTTAGCTCCATTTCCATGTTGGCCAGCGCTGCGCTCAGCTTGGTCTCCAGATCCTCGCGTAGGATAAGACTATGTCCACGATCGCGCAGCAGCATGCACGCATCATCGTAGAGTTGACGCGACGAATCGATGACCTCCACTAGCTTGGTGCGTAGTGATGGCCCCTCCAGCAGCTTGCCCTGCGGATGTATGGACTCCAATGCCTCGCTGGCACGACAGGCCACCTCATAGAGATCATGCTGCAGCGCCGGATGCGAGATGATCAGGAATTTGACCCACTTAACCAGCGAACTGACTGCCTCTATGAAATTCAACAGCACATAGCATTCGCGCTCCGATATGACCTCATCCGTGGATACGGCATGCTCGGAGGCAGTCGACGATGTATCACGCTGTATGGAAATGCTATGCTGTCGCTGCTTCTCCTGCCAGGTCTTTAGCGATACCTCCAAGCTGCGATTGCGGCACAGCATCTGCACGCGATTCTTGTGCAGAATGCGTATCATACCCGGCGGCTGCAGCCAGGCCTCCCCATCCACCTGTATGGGTATCTCCTCATCGCCCAGTATATTGATTTGCACGCTCTGGCATTGGGCAATGCGATGATGCTGCAGATTAATTAAACGCGAGGCGGCCATTTGCACCGATCCAAAGACGGCGACCACCTCCAGCACACGATCATCGAAGCTGGGCTGTAGAAATATTTCCTCCTTCTTGGTGCTGTTGCCCCAGAAATTGGTGCCGCCCATAAAGCTGGGTATATTCAAGATGACAATGCCCTGGAGCTCTGGCAACGGTATGCGCTGGCCATCGCACTCCAGCTGCACGCGCTGCTCCAGATTCTTGCAGGTCTTCTGCAGCAGCTGCTTGGAGCCGAGCACTCCATACCACATATAGTTGCGTGCTCGGGAGCGGCACTTTTCCGGATGCTCCTCGCGCTTGTTGTGGAAATCAAGTGAGATTTTCGCATCGATGCCAATGCCAAAGTAGTTGTTCATCACACACTTCTCGTGATAGCCAGCGAGCAGAGTTTCATCGGGATCCATCAAGGGGCTAACAGCAGCGCATAGGGTATCCGCATTGGCGAGCAGACACTTCGATATGAAGCCAGTGCCATTGGCTAGAGCTGAAAATTTAAGGGTGTTCTATAAGTAAGGTTATGAGTGGGTGGGACTCATGGACAAATTCAGAGAATTTTGCAATAGTTCTCAAGAAAAATCCTATTAAGGAATAAAATCATATTAAGGAGAATGCCAGGCAACTCGAGATCGACATTTGTACTATGAGATCCCATGAGATCCAGAA